CTCTACATCTCTGGTCCTCTTCTTCTGCTAACTGACTTCACACCTGATCAATATCTTCCTGTTTCAACTCTTTTGCAGACTTAACCACAGAGCTTGTTGGCATGTTCTGTTGAGGGGTGGAAGCTCAATAGTTTATGACCCCAGGCTGACTCTATCAATTAACTCCAGTTTTGCTGCCATCACTATGTAGATGTAATAGGCAGAAGGAATAACCTTGAGGAACAGGAGGAAGAGCCGCAACCAAGACAACAATCGGATAAGAGAAATCTGAGTCCTGGCCAGAACTGTAGCCTGAGAAAGCGTCTCAGACTTGACCCTCCCTAGTTTTCTTGAACATAAAGGCAGGGAGGGAAGAGGCACATTCAGACTTGCAAAATTCTGTTGCTGTAACCCTGTAATAAAAGTAGTATTAGCATTCATAACTTTGGTTCCTTAGTCTGGTCTACCTCAAAGGGTTGACAGCCATGGAACAGATTGCTTCCTGGAGTTGTGGGGGCTCCATCACTGGAGCTTTTCAAGCAAAGGTTGTACAACCGTTTGCTTTGGATGGTCTGAGGACTCCTCCTCTAGGCAGGGGTTGGGTGTGTGTGTGTTAAAAAAGGTTAAGATGGCAACCAGGATCGCATGATCAAAGCCCTGCCCCTTTTTGACATGCATCAAGCGTGTACTGCCTTTAAAAAGGGGGCAGGGCTTTGATGGCGCTGTCACCGTCGCCACCTTGACTTTTTTGACCCCTCTCATCAGAACCCCTGCTCTACATACCTTCCTCACCACGCTAACGATGGCCTCGTTTCCGGCTTAGCACGTGCTGCAAACCCATCCCATTTTGGATCCTTTCAGGTTGACTATTTTGCGGATCGAGAAAAAGGGTTGATTCGGTGTGCAGCTTCAGCCCATTGAGTGAACTTGGCTGTTGACTAAGCGACCCGGGACCACGTCTTCCAGCTGTCTCAGGGTGGTGTGTGTTGCGTGGTGCCTCTGTACGCCACATGTCCATATCGGTGTCTGTTGCGAGGATGGGTGGTGGTAGGAGCGGGCTGCTTTGGTCAGAATAATGAGAAGCATGGTGCTCCTTTTGTACGTGTGTGCAATGTCAAGATGCAAATAGAAAAGGAGTCGGGCTTGTGTGGTGAGGCTGTACCCTTGCTTTTTTCATTTGCTTATTTTTGTGTCATGCAGATGTTGCTGGCTGGAGGACGTGGAATATTCCTCAGGACGGTGTTTCTCAACCTTGGCAACTTGAAGATGGGTGGACTTCAACTCCCAGAATTCCCCAGCCCCCCACCGCCACTTTGCTGGTATCGCGGGGGATTTACATCCCCCCCCTCCTTTCCCCCGCGGTGAAAGAACCACCTCCAGGCGAATTCACCCC